GCCGTTACAACTACTAGAACAAAGTTTAGTGGTGCTTCACTTCAAACAACATCCTTTCTTTGGGGTGCTCTAATCATTACGTATAATTCACTCTTTGTTTCATAAATCTCCAGCACAAGGCTTCTGTTACATCTCTTAGAAGCTGTGTCATGGTAATAATTCAGACTATTTTAGGACTTTTCGGGGCCAAAACTTAAAAAGGAAGAAAATTGTATTTGTTGTCGCCTTCTAGATCCTAGCGGGATGAAATAAAGTAATAAATAACAAAAATGAGGCACGATAAGCAAGTCCTTAGTATCAGAAAAGAATTAGTAACAAAAACGATTTTTAGACTTCATCGTTAAGCATAAATAAGCATATATTTAATAGCAGGGGTTAAACTGGACTAGGAACCCCAACCAAAAGCTGCAACTTATGGCCGGGTGGGGTGTGTCTTGGACTTTGATTGCCATGAATTACCCGAGGAGAAAATAATTTTGACGTGTGCTGGGTGGGAAAACTTAGTTGTACTTACAAACTTTCCAACGAAAGATACCTCGAAGTTGTTTTTTAAATTAAAACTTATTCAACTGTCTCTTTTTTCCTCCGCCCACTTATTTCTCAGTGCAGTCAGTTTACTGACATGGAGAGCCCAAACAGATTGCATGTGCAGTCGAGACTACATTAAGATCTCAAATCGCACAACTCAAATGTTTGGAAATAATAATAATAAAAAAACGACTGAGTTCAAGAGCTCTCTCCTGAGAGGAAGAGTAATGAACAAATGTTCGAATAATACTCACTTCCTGTCGTGATTCCTGAGCTTAGAAAAACAGGCAGAGATAAATTAACTGAGTTAAGACAGCAAAAACCCCGCGACTAAGGACTCGAATTTTAAGAACTTGTTAAGCTAAAATTTGCCAGTTAAGCCCCCTCTATATAAAAATCTGTTTAGCCTAAAATCTGAAATAGTTTCTTATTTTCTTAAATAAATGAAAAAATTATGTACAGTTGGGCAAATAAGATAAGCCAACATTTAGAATTCTCATAGCTGCCTTATCACTCCAACTGCAATGTAAATGCTAATGTATAAATCAAATAAAATTAGTATTGAAATGATTACAAATTAAATACAGTTCTTCTTTTTAAGTTCATTTGTACATAACTTCTAGTTTAGTATGCAGATTTTATTTGAGGAATTGAGCTGAGCCACTAAATACCCTTAGCTATATTGTATTTTTTTTCCTCTTCAGAAAATAAGAACCTAAATATCCTAAACTTGTGCTAACTACCATTTATATAAGAACCTGCTTAGGCTAACTTGGAAATATCTAGGATCTTAGTCGCGGGGGTTTTACTGTATTCTTACTAAAGGTAGATCTTCATTTACCTAACCTAAAAAGTTACCGAATGGATCCACTTTATAAGTAGTTCAGTTACTGGTTTTTGTGGCTGTACCTTACGGCAAAAATGAAGCAATTTATTGGCATATAAAACTCGTTTAAAAACGCTAATAGTTTATGCGACAAATAGAAATTCATTGATAAAAATCATTTACAGATGATGACAAGAGACGATAATGAGACAAGAGGGTCAATCCTATTGAAAGCCTTTCCAGCAACACTTACCTCGTCTATAGCGCAACTTGACTTAAGGTGGCTCGACTGGATTTTTTGGGGTTGATACCTCCCAACTTTGAGCATTAACTACGTCGGCATGAGTAAAGATATGGAAAAAAGGTTACCACAACTGTATTATATAAAGATGAAAATTTCTTATGATCTGGGTTTTATTGCAATCGGAGTCGCCATGGCAACGTAATGACGCCATTACGTTTTTCATTTATCTTTGTGTTTCTCTGTTCCAGGAGTTTTTTTGAAGAAATCGCTTAAGAGAGTATGTACCTGCTATAATTGCCTCCATTATGGCAAAGTTTGAACAAATTCTATGAGAGCGTTTTCGAAATATTTTGAAATGTAGTTTTAAGAATAATAAAAACGGTGAAATAGCATGCTCCCTACACCATTCGCTAATATTTTAAGAAAATGATAAGCTTTGGGAACGAGGCTTCATCTCATAGTGGTTTGATTCCATTGAAAACTGCATACGAAAAAAGATGGGAATTGCTCTGGGCGATCGCGAGTAAGAAGAATTTTATTAACTTGCATTTAGCTGCTTTTGATACAGTTTTTGGACGTAATTTGGTCCATGCCTAAAAATTTCGCATTTTTCCAAAAACCGCTCGATAAATTTTTCTATGAATTCGACAGCCCCGAGATCAATCGTCAAGAAATATTCTCTGCAAGTTTTAAGAACATTGAAAATAGGGAAGGCTTTCAAATAGGGCCTCAAATATAGCCAATTTTCCCCCCAGATTTTGTGTTTACAAGTGAGCGTCCTCATTATTCACAGGCATTGTTTTCAAGTTTCATATACACGTGCTCATTTGGCAAAAAGATAGAATTTGCATCAAAAAGGACCCTCGGTTAAATCTCCGGTATATGCTAATTACCGGGTAAAGAGATTAATGATACATTATAACATCAGAGCAACTCTTTGTGAGAGCTTCTGGGATGTTATAACCCGAGTAAGATAATTAAGTATTCCATCCTACACGATGAGCCGTGACGTTCACCGTTTCGGCTCTCATTGCTATCTGCGACGACAAGCCAATTATTAGCATATTCCGAATATTTCTTCGGAAAGTAATCGAGACTTCTTTTTGATGCAAATTTATATTTTTTGCTAGTTGTGCACGTGCATATGAAACTTGAAAACAATGCCAGTGAATAATGAGGACGCTCACTTGTAAACACAAAATCTGGGGGGAAAATTGGTTATATTTGAGGCCCTATTTGAAAGCCTTCCCTATTTTCAATGTTCTCGAAACTTGCAGGGAATATTTCTTGACGATTGATCTCGGGATTGTTAAATTTATAAAAAAATTTATCGAGCGGTTTTTGGAAAAATGCGAAATTTTTAGGCATGGACCAAATTACGTCCAAAAACTGTATCAAAAGCAGCTGAATGCAAGTTAATAAAATTCTTCTTACTCGCGATCGCCCAGAGCAATTCCCCTCTTTTTTCGTATGCAGTTTTCAGTGGAATCAAACCACTATGAGATGAAGCCTCGTTCCCAAAGCTTATCATTTTCTTAAAATACTAGCGAATTGTGTGGATAACATGCTATTTCACTGTTTTTATTATTCTTAAAACTACATTTCAAAATATTTCGAAAACGCTCTCATAGAATTTGTTCAAACTACGCCATAATGGAGGCAATTATAGCAGGTGCATACTCCCTTAAGCGATTTCTTCAAAAAACTCCGGGAACAGAGAAACTCAAAGATGAATGAAAAACGTAATGGCGTCATTACGTTGCCATGGCGACTCCGATTTCAATAAAACCCAGATCATAAGAAATTTTCATCTTCATATAATACAGTTGTGGTAACCTTTTTTCCATATCTTTACTCATGCCGACGTAGTTAATGCTCAAAGTTGGGAGGTATCAACCCCAAAAAATCCAGTCGAGCCACCTTAAAACCCTCTACTGAACCCCTCAACCAAGATTCAGTTTATTTGACTTATTAATTTATGCTAGCATTGCTATTTCCTGTTTATGCTTATTAAACTCTCTGTAAGTTAGTAAGCGTTCAGATCTATTCGGGAATACAACCCATCTCTCTTGGTACAACTTAAACTCCAAATTAAGAGTAACGCCCATTCAAACCGGCAAAACAAATTTAAACAGGAAGTTCGTTTATATACCGCACCACCCTTAACCCATGGACATGCATTAGCATATGCATTACAACCTCTGTGAAGTGTAGTTTACCCGAAATCAGTTACCTGTTACCAAGGTCAATTGAAACCGATTTTACATGTTCCCTTCATTGATGTGCTGTATAGCCCCTCCTTTCTCTAACCCACGCGCCCAGGGGGGGGGGGGGGGGGGGACTCCCATATAAAATTAACGGGAATGCTCAACGGGAAGCTCAAATTAAACCCTTAAAGGAGACCAATGTGTGTGCGGCTCGAGCTTAAACTAGACTGGCCTCTAAACAGGAGATTTTTGTGTGGTCAGTGCCTGGGCACTTTTTGTAAATTTCCTTACGCACAGTCCTAAGCGATATCTGAATGCGCAAATATAGTGACTTTCCATCCCAGACACAATCTTCAATTTACACCACAAACCGTGCGACTCCCCCCTTCGGGCCCACACGTTCTATCACTGTTAAAAGGAGTTATTAGATCGGTCACCCATAATATACTACTTCTCCTGACAGGCGATATGATGGACCAAATATTCTAGTTTTTTTGCAATTTGAAACACGTTTGACCTCAGTAAATTTGATACTTACTTCCTGTTTTAGAACATTTTGCGAAGGACATTTCTTTTTTATAACCCGAGAAGAATTACGGAATCAGCTGAATGGCTTCGGTTTACAAGTAAATCAAATACTCTATTTGATTCAGTGAATGTTTAAAGTTTTTAGCCGTCAAGGCAAAAAAAATGAAGCAATCGGCAAGGAAAGAAGAGAACGGAGCGAGTAGAAGACAAACAGTGGACAGCTTGAGTTGCAAGTCAGCTTTGCTGTTGTCTGTTGTATGTTGTATCGCACTGATTCACGTGGAACTCAGAATACAAGAGCATCATCGACTGATATCGTCTTCAGTAACATACTGTGGCCAGATGGAGAAAAACATTCTTCAAAAAATTCAGCAGAATAACAAAGATTGGCAATTTACGAAAGGAAGCCATTTAGTGGGTCAAAGACAGCAGACAACGGGTAGGTTTGTAAAGGATATTTATGATCAGGTTATGTTTGAGCCAAAAGGAGCAGTTATGCCCCAATTTTTTTTTTGAACCAATGTGTCTTATGTGTCATGGAACACGGATAATTTAAGTAACTATAAAAAACAAAAAAATATATTTCATGGAGAGAAAGCAATCTTTCGTGGGCAATACCATTTTTTTACGTTTTCATTGTTAACTTTATTTTGATATTTTTTTTGCCATTTTTCAAGGCCCGGAAGTCATCAACTCAAGACAAAAGCGTACATTGCCAGTCAAATCACAACAGAAATCCGCACAAACAACCTCCAATGTAAAAATGCTGATTAAAGAAGAACTTCGACTTTTACAGAACCAAATCTGTGCTAAAGATGAAACGCTTTGCCGCTCGGGACCAAAAGGTAACACAGGACGACGAGGAAGGCCTGGTATCCGAGGAAGACCAGGTCCCCCTGGGAGACCCGGGCCTGAGGGGCCTCCTGGTAAACATGGACCAATAGGACATCCAGGGCTAATGGGTATAAAGGGGGATCTTGGAGTTCCGGGTGACCCTGGTCCCGTGGGGCCTCGAGGCCCGCCAGGCCAGAAAGGCGTAAAAGGTGAGCCGGGCCAGTCCATCTCGGCTCCATCTCTACTGCAGCGTCCTGTTGAAACTATAGTCAATAAAAGTCAGACAGCCATCTTAAAATGTACAGCCGACGGTAATCCATCACCCAAAGTCATATGGTCTAAAATGAACTCATCACTTCCTGTGGGGCGTCATGTTGTGGAGTCCAGTGGCGCGTTGACTGTGAGAGACGTCAGGCCTGGAGACGAGGGCGACTATAGCTGCAGAGCTGAAAATTTGCTGGGCAGCGTGAATGCTACAGCGAAACTTGTTGTTCATTGTAAGTTTAAGTCCTTACCAAATATAGTCCCTAGTGTTTCGATTTTTAAAATTGACTTAGCTAGGATCTGGCCTGCAAAGTACGCCACTCGAGTAAACATTGCCCCCCCGGGGGGGGACTCCGCATATGAAAGGGGTAGGGATGCTCGTCGGAAATGTTGAATTAAACTCCTAAAGGAGACCGATCTGGGCGTAGCCCAAGCTTTTTTTGACCCCTAAAAGAGACCATGTTAAAACATAGACAACATCAGGAGCCGGGTGATAGGCTCCTGACAATATGTATATTTTGATATTTTTTCGCGTGCAACCCTAAACGAGACCTTCACGGCTAAATATGATGGCGTTTTGCGTAGAACACCCTAACTGAAACCAAAATCCGAAATTTACACCCCTAAGCGAGACAACGAGCATCCCCACCCCTTTCATACGCGGAGTCCCCCCCCCCGGGAACATTGCCCTTCTTATTCCTCAGCTCTCCTTGCCTTGAAGCAAAGTTATGACCAGTAGACCCATTTTGGTAATAAAAGGCAGCACTCGCCTTGCGGACACCCCGCTATAAGGGACAACCCTATAATACCGACATGACAGCAGCTAAATCCCAGGCAAAAATGAATTACAGATGTTTGACTGAAATAGATTCTCGTTATTATAAGGTGCCTATAGTGTCCGCTATAAAGGAGTTGCCTGCGTGCAGACTTCTGTAAGGAAACAGGAGACGTCTGCACGCAGGCAATAAAGGAGTTGACTGTAAACTCGACGGTACATCGCGTTAATCAAAAGGCATATGTGGCAAATTAAAGGAGGTAAACACTGCAATATCACATGACAGAAATCTTTTCTGTATCATTGCCTATGTTTTGCTTTTTCATTACCAAAAAGAATAATTCATTTGTATCCCTACATTTCCAACGACGAATATAATCCCTATGTTTTATCTGGTGGTTTCCATAAAAAAACGTTCGAAACCTTCTGAACAGTTACTGTATGAAAGCAAAGGGCCGGTTATTCTTTTTTGCCTGACGCTTTTACCTTGACTCCGTTTATCGTGAACAGTTTAACGGAGGGTACATTAGAGAAACACTAATCTTCTTAAAATAACCCATTAGAAAGAGATATGGAATTCCAGTGATTTCTTAACCGCGCCATAAGTTATACTTTTTATAAATAACTGACCCAGGGGGTCATGTTTGTACATCAGTTCAAGCGGGATAAACTTGTTTTGGAATTTACATGGATGCCGAGTGCCATATATTTTTTTTTCGATGATTTATTTTTTTGCAGTTACTCCTCAGATTTCTTTGTCATTCCAAACGCTGATGACAGAGGAGAAACGAAACACCACTATCGCCTGCACTGCTCCTGGTCAGCCGCAACCCAGTATCATGTGGTCTAAGTCAGTCGGTTCTTTACCGAAAGGAAGAAATAAAGTGATAAACGGAGCACTAACAATCTACAATGTAACAAAGAAAGACAGGGGAATATACATTTGTAAGGCAGAAAATACTCTGGGATCAGCGTCAGACACGGTCCTACTTATGGTATTCTCTCCTTTGCGATTTAAAGTTCTTCCTCCGCCGGAGGTGACTCCTGATATTGCTTCCACTCTCCGTTTACCGTGTGTAGCTGAAAGTGAACTAAAGATGTCAATCACTTGGACAAAAGACGGAATATCCTCACTTCCGGTAGCTTCAAGTGTCCTTAGAAACGGAACTCTAGTCATTGCTAACGTCAAAACATCACACCGAGGGTCTTACACTTGTAGGGCGAGTAATGCTCTTACCTCAATAGAAGCTAAAGTCAAAGTCAACTCTCCAGTTGCAACTACCTCCTGTTCCCTGATAAGACAAAAATTCAGCAGTTTAAGTAGCAGGAATTATGTCATTGATCCAGATGGCGAGGGAGGCCTGGCACCATTTACTGTATATTGTGACATGGCTGACAAGAATGGCGTTGGTGTGACAGTTATCAGTCACGACAGTGAGAGCAGAATAAAGGTGCGTGATGGTCTCGGTTGGGGAGGTGGAGGTAGCTACTCACGCGACATTCATTACACTGGAGCGAGTCTGTCTCAGCTGGCAAGTCTAACCAGAGTCTCCGCACACTGTGAACAGTTTATCAAGTACGAGTGTTATAATTCGGTCTTGCGACTATACAGAAGCAACCCATACGGATGGTGGGTGTCACGTGATTCTTCTAAGATGAGGTACTGGGGTGGAGCATCTGTCAGTGGTAAGTGCGCATGCGGGATGACCAATTCATGCCCAGAACCCAGTTATGGCTGTAACTGTGATAAGAATGACCCAGTATGGCGCGAAGACAGCGGTCTCCTGACTGACAAGACAAAGCTTCCAGTGAAACAGCTCAGGTTTGGTGATGCAGGGAATAGCGGCAACCAAGGTTATCATACTCTTGGAAAACTCAAGTGTTACGGCTCATCATAGATGATAACTATTAACATATAACGTACAAAAAACCTTGGAGTTTTAAAACATTTCAAGACAATGAAAAACAAAAACAAGCAAAAAATACTTAATTAAATATAACGGCGGCTCAGGAGAGATTACAGCCTTACAAAACGACAACACTGTCACCTTTTTTATTTAGTTTTTGCGTCAGTTTCATCAGTTTAACACCAATAACAGTTGCTGTACAATAAATTTACCTTTTGGCAAATGTTTAGTTCAATTCACCTGTAGAGTTGCTTTGGAACCGATACGTTTTTTGGTCCTAAGCACTTTTTAGTTAGTAAGAGGGTCTCAATGGGGTGGTGGCTTTTACGGTTATCGGCTAATCTCAAAATTTTCAGTCATGTCCAATACTGCCGCACTGTTACGGACCGTTAAGAGCAGTTAACGGACCGTACGTCCTGCAAAAACCGTCACTATTACTCACGGTCCGTATGCTGAGCACATACGGAGCGTGCATCTCATTATTACATAAGGGCACAATGCGTTACGGTTCGTTCGATCGTACAGTCCGTAGACATACGGAGCGTGAATCTCATTATTAAATCAGGGCACAACGCGTTACGGTTCGTTCGATCCGTACGGTCCGAAGACACACGGAGCGTGAATCTCATTATTACATCAGGGCACAATGCGTTACGGTTCGTTCGATCCGTACAGTCCGTAGACATACGGAGCGTGCATCTCATTATTACATCTGGGCACAATGCGATACGGTTCGTTCGATCCGCACGGCAAGAGAGGCGCACTCCAACTGTAATATTCCTCTTTCTATAAACCATAAACCAACACAAGCGCAAAAACCAAGAAAGGCAGTGAGGTTCACATTATAAGGAGCAAGATATTTGGTATTTGGTTGTGTTCGCGTTTTTGGTTCTTTCCGTGTGAGGTTTACATTATAAGGAGCAAGATATTTGGTATTTGGTTGTGTTCGCGTTTTTGGTTCAAAGGCGCACTCCAGGTGTAATATTAATTCCTCGTTCTATAAACCATAAACCAACAGAAGCGCAAAAACCAAGAAAGGCACACTCCAAGTGTAATTTTCCTTCTCCTCTAAATCAAAACAACCCGAAAACCACGGTATGCACGCTCTAAGTTTTATGCTTGTACCTAAATGTGATGTTCTTATAAGTCAAAAACCAAAACAAGCGCGCTTCAAATGTAAGAACAATCGTCAATAAGTTTATAATTAATATAAGCACGCACCGAATGTAAAGGCAAGATAAGTAAGCACCAAAAATGTAATATTCAAACGTAGTATTTCTTTATATAACCAAGACAAGCATGCTCTATATAAATTTAATGTTCCTTCTCTATACGCTAGAAACAAAAGCAAGCGCACTTTAAATGCAAATGTTCTTCGCTTGCTTTTCTTACTACGTTTGCTGCACAAAACAAATGTAATATCCATTATAAAACTGCTCCTCGTTCAAATGTCACAAACGAGGGCACGCGCGCTTCAAATGTAACAATCGCTTCGTTTTATATAAGCTGTCAAATTTTTCGCAATAAGCACGCAGTACTTTGTATAACCATGATAAACATGCTCTATATCAATTTAAGTTTCCTCTTTCTATACGCCAAAAACAAAAGCAAGCGCACTTTAAATGTAACTTTTCTACGGTGAAACTTTAAGAACAATCGTCTGCAGTTTATGAAATAGGAATGTTGATGCGAACATATTTTCACAACGAAGTGTAGTCGTCAAATACTACTTAAAAAGTACTCTTCTTGGTTAGAGACTTTTATTCTTTTGGTGGCTCCTAAAAGAGCCTTTTTTGTGTCCTGCAGTGCAGGATTTTTCCTTCTTTTATGATTTTTCTTGGATTTTCTAGCTTTTTCTGCTGCGTCTTGTTGGTGCTGTGATTACTGTTTCGGTAGTCCATTTAAATACAAAAGTTTGTTGTGGCCTACGTCAAAGTAGAACTTCTGCCTTTGACAGGTATCTGATGGTCTCTCTATATTCGTTGACCCAAGACATCTTCCCACAATAGTAGAGTTATGGTTTCTCAGTATTATTCAACAGTGGGAAAATGGTTGTGTGAGACCACGCGTTAATCTATATGTGTGATAGTAGCAACCAATCACCATCGACTGTTTACTAACTTTAAGCATTTAATTTTGTCACACCTTTCTCTTTCTTTATAATTTTTTCACATCTCATTGTTAATCATCCTCGGAGACCCAGGGGCAGTCAGTCGGGTCGAGAAAAAAGGCGGGACGAAAGTTTTCAAGTAAGTGCGGAAGAGCCCCTGGGTACCGACTCTCACCGAACTATTTCCAAAAATTCAAGCTGATACCGGTTCCTGATTGGGTACAAAAAATGCTTTGTATTATTGTGCCCAATCGGCGAACAGTTGCTCCTGAGTTCTTTTCGTGAGTTCGTACACGACGGCTATTGTCTCGCCACACTTGCCTGGCTCGCTCACCAAGCTTGAGCGTACAAGGGAAACTTTTATTTTCTAGTTCCTAACCAGAAACAAAGGAATTACCGATGAGTTGAAAAAACGTTTGGGTTACTATCAGCAAGAGCAATTGAATTTGCCCCTAGAATATTCTGTTTTTGACGGATCACAATAGGCCATTTTACAGTTATGGGTGGAAGCGAGGTTGACGGTGACCTTGTTTTGATACAAACCTTCCTGCTTTATTATGTAAATCAAGTTATTCTTATGCCAACTAGTAGTTTCCAAGAATAATTTCCATAACAAAGCAAAGAAGGTTTGTATCAAAACAAGGTCAACCTCAGCCTCACATTCACTCGAAGGCTAGGGTACTAAGTCCACAACTGTAAAATGGTCTATTAAGATGCGGCGGCGATGAGAAATTCAAATAAGTAATAGCTTGACAAGGCAAAACAACAACTTTGCACGTGCATCACGCTTTTTTGTACACTTCTTTGCCGTCAACTGCACGACTACCCGTGAAAATGTCTAACTTCACGTTTTGCGAAGGAGTAAACAAGCAATTACAAAATTCATTCTCGTCATGAACTTTGATATGGTTCAGAAGAGTTCGCTTGCATTTGACAAAGTAAGCGAGTTGGACCAGATGGGCATTTTATATCAAACTGAAAGTTTCCTGACTGCGTGCATTTCTTTGGTGCATAAGCTATACAAGCCGTGATCGAGGCAATAGCCGTCATGTACGAACACACGAAAAGAACTCATTGAGATGTGTTCGCCGATTGGGCACAGTAATACAAAGCATTTTTTGTGCCCAATCAGGAGCCGGCATCCGCTTGAATTTTTGGAAATGGTCCGGTGAGAGTCGGTACCCAGGGGCTCTTTCGCCCGTAATGAAAACTTTCGTGCCGCCTTTTCTCCCGACCCGAATGACTGCCCCTGGGTCTCCGAGGATGATTGTTAATGTATCATCGGGGCATTTATTATTCACATTTTATTTTTTCTCACATCCTCTCTTATTCAGTTGTTACGCATCATTTTCCTGTGCACAATCGGGCTAGCAAAACGTCATTTTCAACGTGAAATCAGCGGATCAAAAAAAAACTCTCATCTCCTACGGGTCCTTACCATCATAATTTTCTTTCTTGTTTACGATCACTGACATCTCAAAGTTGTAAATAATTCCAAATATTGACCTACCCGAAACACAATTGACAACATACTTTTTTTACAATTAACCTTTCCTATGATGTACCTGCTGCTAAAAATACTACTTAACCCACAATCTAGTACATGTAGATGTTCCAGTTCAATTTTGTGTTGTGGATCAATTTTATCCTTGGTTTAATTCATATTTTTGTCTTAATTTGTCTTGTGCTATAATGTTTGAAAGGGAAGAAAATACAGTTCAAATCAAGAGTAACATTTCACTAATACACATAAAATATAACCCATGATATGGTTTGATATATTCGTTTCGGGTCGCCAACTTAGACACCGTAAAACTGTAGTCAAGAAAAAACACGTGCTGAAAAAGGGCAAAAAGTAAAGAAAGTGAACACTGTAATGCAGTTAGTTACGATAGAATTTTAGCCAAGACATTGTAAAATATTGCACTTTGGACACTGAGTATACATAACAGTCAATGTAAAATTATCATAATATTTGCAGTTACACTACCTCGAGTTTACAGCATTATAGTACTGAATATCTCTCTTATAATTTACCTCCTAAGTTATAGAGAGCCAATGATCCCCAACGTGAACCTCGCGCACTTTACGGACCGAAGAGAGCTCTTCACAAACCGTATACCCCTTTCGTTGGTCCGTACCGTCCTTACAGATCGAAAAACGGTAAATACCCACTCTTCCCATGAAAATATTAGTCTCACTAATGAAATGCGATTTACGGACCGTAAAACACACTTTACAGACCGTATACCCCTTTTGTCGATCTGTTCGATCCGTACGGATCGACAAACCGTATATAACCACTCTTGCCATGAAAATATTTTAAGTCCCACTAATTAGATGCGATTTACAGACCGTATACCCCTTTTGTCGATGCGTTCGATCCGTACGGATCGACAAACCGTATATGACCACTCTTGCCATGAAAATATTCTTAGTCCCACTAATGAAATGCGATTTACGGACCGTAAAACACACTTTACAGACCGTATACCCCTTTTGTCGATCCGTTCGATCCGTACGGATCGACAAATCGTATATAACCACTCTTGCCATGAAAATATTCTTAGTCCCACTAATGAAATGCGATTTACGGACCGTAAAACACTCTTTACAGACCGTATACCCCTTTTGTCGATCCGTACGGATCGAACGGATCGACAAACCGTATATAACCACTCTTGCCATGAAAATATTCTAAGTCCCACAAATGACATGCGATTTACGGACCGTAAAACACTCTTTACAGACCGTATACCCCTTTTGTCGATCCGTTCGATCCGTACGGATCGACA